AGGAAATAAACTATTCTATGACAAAATAAATTAATAGTAAATTTATTAAATATATTAAGTTGTAATTAAAGTATTATTTTATATATATACTTGAAACATACTTAAAAATATCACGCTAAAATATAACTAAACACTTTCAAGGGATATTAAGGGTTACATCATTATAGCCCAATAATACTTTCTACTAATATTAAATAATAGGTGATGCACCTACCTCCTTGTTTACCTTTTGTCTCCAACCCCAATATGAAATCTCTATTAACTAAACTTAAATGATAAATAAATCTATCCGAAAATCTGAAATATTTAATGAAATTAATAAATTCATTATTGATCTCCCAACCCCTCCTAATATTAATTATTTATGAAATATAGGATCAATTACAGGATTATTTTTTATATCCCAATTTATTACAGGATTCTTTCTTTCTATACATTACATTTCAGATATTAATAAATCATTTTTTATAGTGGTATCTATTGAAAATAATATTTGAGAGGGATTTTTATTACGCAATCTCCATTCTATAGGAGCATATTTTATGTTTATTTTTATTTATTTGCACATCTTTCGTAGTCTATTCTATGGATCATTTGTAATCTTACTTCTTTTAATTATAATAACAGCCTTTTTAGGGTATGTTCTTCCGTGAGGGCAAATATCTTACTGAGCAGCAACTGTAATTACTAATATAATCTCCGCTATCCCTATTCTAGGAAAGCCTGTGGTTATTTGAATTTTAGGAGGATTTAATGTAGGGGACCCTACATTAAATCGATTCTTTTCCTTACATTTTTTTTTACCTTTTATTTTACTAGTGTTAATAATAGTGCATTTAATTTTATTACACTTAAAAGGCAGTAACAACCCCCTTGGAATCCCTTCTTCTGTTTTTAAAATCCCTTTTCACCAAACTTTTTCTTATAAAGATATTTTTGGTTTTATGCTGCCCTTATTCTTATTTTTTATTCTTATTTTTTTATGTCCTGATTTATTCACAGATGTAGTCAATTTTATCGAGGCTAACCCTTTATCCACACCACCACATATTATACCTGAGTGATATTTTCATTTTGCTTATGGTATCCTACGAAGTGTACCGAATAAATTGGGCGGGAGTTATTGCTTTATTTATAAGAATCATAATTATATACATCTTACTTATATCTTCAAAAAATCTTTTAATCTATAACTCTTTACGTAAATTTATTGCCAATCTTATTGCCTCCTCTTTTATCCTATTAAGCTATATTGGTTCTCAAGTTGTAGAACCTCCTTTCATTGTTATAGGGCAGATACTCAGTGTTATCTACTTTTTATTATTTTTTATTATAGCTTCTATCTGAGTAACCTATATTTGCCTTGAAAGCAAATCAAGATCGTAAAAATCATTACTCTCGTTAATAAATCAATATTCATTTAATATAATATAAATTATATAGAAATTTCAACTCTAAAATACTTAAATTACTTTAAGTAATGAATTTACCTCTAAATCCTAAATTTAGTACACAAATTATGCTAACCTAAATTAAATTTAAAGTGGTCCTTTCGTAACTTTATAATATAACAATAAAAGATAGGAACCGATCTGGCTCTCGCCGATCTGCACTCAAATCATGGTTAAATTTAATGGTCGAACAGACCATCCATTAAAACTACTGCATCTTAATGAAAAATAATTCAACATCGAGGTCGCAAACACTATAAATTATAAGATCTAATTTACTATATTACGCTGTTAACCCTAGGGTAACTTTTTCTAAATATCAATATAAAATTGGATCTCTTTAAAATACACTCAATTTTAGCCCTAGTTGCCCCAACTAACTGTAACTATATACAGAAGCTCCTAGGGTCTTTCCTTCTTTTTATTAACTTTAAGATTTTTCACTTAAAATTCAATTTTATTAACCAATAATAACTTAAAATAAGTCTTACCATTCATCCTAGCAAACAATTAATTTGCAAATGATTATGCTACCTTCGCACGGTCAAATTACCGCGGCCATTAAACTTTTATCATAGGGCAGGCAATACTAAAAACAACTGCTTTTAGCTAAGTATTTGTTAAACCTACATATTTTAATCGAGTAAATTAATTAATTCATATACATAATATTTTTACTATAAAATATTTCTTACTTCTACTAATTAAAGCAAATTAATTTTAATTAAAATTAATTTGTTAAACCTAATTAATTTTAATTAAAATTATTTAATATATGACAAACTACACATTAAAAGATTTTATCTCAATTTTATATTAACATTTTATTTATAATGGTTAACTTTACTTAAAAGAGCTCACCCCTATTAACTTCGGAGATTTACTCACCGCATTCTAAAAGAATTATTATCATTAAGCCAGCTATAAAAGAACAAAATGAATTTCACCTTAATAAAATTTAAGTAAAAATTTGAAACTTTTTACTTAAATTTTATTAACTATCTTCATTATCTGGGTAGTTAACAATAAACTTTTTTATTACCTTATCGTGTTGCAACAGGAAACCCTAATATATCTTTATTTTTAATCCCTTTTCAGGACCATTAAAAATTCATTTTATCAAAAATACTATAATTAAAATTTTAAAATCTTTACATAATTCACCTTTTCAGTGTAAATGAAACGCTTTATTATAGGATTATTTATATATGTAATAGGCCTTCTTTCAAGAGGGCCTACTTTGTTACGACTTGTCCCTCTAGAGAATGACGGGCGATATGTGTATAGTTTAGAGCCTTTTCATTAAAACACTCTTATTTTAATTACTTCTAAATCCTGAATTTTAGTGTGAACTATTTTTAAATAGTTAAAATTATATTATATAAAGTACCCCACTTAACTCTAAATATCCTAAACTTTGACTTGAAAAAATATTTTATAAAATATTTATTTTTAATTTTTAAACAAAAAATATATAAAACAGCAATACATAAAGAAAAATTTAGATAAGGTCAAAAGCGTACTATCAACTCAATAAGCTAGATCCTCTAGTAGGGATAAACCACCTCCAAATTTTTTAAGTTTCAAATTTTATAATACTTAGGTATTTTTCTATTTTTTCTATAATAATAGGGTATCTAATCCTAGTCTTAAAACAAAGCTTATAAAAATCCTGGATTTTGGATTTAATATCTTTAGGGATTCCACCCCCTAAAGATATTAAATCCAGACTAATTTTTACCAAATTCAAATTAAATCTGTTTGTATAACCGCTAATGCTGGCACAAACTTTTTAAGACTTATATTTACTAAACCTTAATTAAAAGTTGTTTAATTTATACTCTGAATTAAAAACTAAAATTTTAATAGGGAGGTGAAATAAATTAAACAACTTTTAATTATATATTTATTGTAAAATTCTTTTTCTAAATGTCAAAGTATCTAGTTCTTTTACGACAAATAAAATTTATTGTGAATTTAATAAAAATATTAAGTTTCCTATAGTAAATATTGGAATATTTTTTATATATACTTGAAATTAGCGCGAAATGTATTATCGCGAATGCATTATCGCGAATGCATTATCGCGAATGTCGATTACCGCGAATGTCGATTACCGCGAAAAGATATTATAGCGAATGCATTATAGCGAATGCATTACCGCGAATGCAATATAGCGAATATAATACAGCGAAAATATTATAGCGAATGTATTAGCGCGAATGTAATACCACGAAAATGTTATCGCGAATGTATTATAGCGAATACATTACAGCGAATGAATTATCGCGAATATATTACCGCGAATGTATTATAGCGAATCAATTATCGCGACTACATTATAGCGAATGCATTAATGTGAATGAATTATCGCGAATGCATTATAGCGAATGCATTATAGCGAATACATTATCATATCGCGAATGGAGTTTCATGAAAGTTACAATTTTATATTTATCGACTTTTCGACTGACTTAGTTGAATCTGAAAATTAAGTTAAAATGGGGATTGGCTCTAAAAACATTTTTTAATTGAAATTAAGGCTAAGGCTTTTCTTTTTTTTGACTCAAAATATATAAAAAAGATTCTAAGTAATAAAATAGATTTCTCTTTTTCATCTAATCATTTTAAATATTAAACATTAAGTTTTTTCTTTTTAATTATTGAAAACTTGTAGGGCAGAACGGGGTTATGGCGAACCCTAAAGGCAAACCTTAAGAAATTTATAAGTACTTTATCATTTTTAATAAAAAATATCTCATTTTGTTCAGCTCTATTAGTTTTATTATATGTTTAAATTTCAAAAATACATCTCTAATAATTTTTTCAAAATATCATTTTTCCTGGAATTTTTTTTGATAACCGAGTGAACCCTACCCGGGTACGAACAAGCCCTTGGTCGAGTCCATATATAAAAGTTATATATTTTTTTATTAGGATACTAGCTAATAACCCGTCAAGAATGACGGGGAATTAGAATTTTCTCCTTTATAACTATTTTTATATCTTTAAAAACTCAATCTATGAAAGGATGATAGATATTAGGGCTCCCAGGCTCTTATATATAGTCGAGACATCCCAGCAATAAAGGACACAAATATACACCTTGCTCACATTTTAAAGATAAAAGAAAATTTTACCCAATAATTAAGATTTATTACATGGAAACAATGTCTCTTATTGGAACCCCAAATATTACATTATCCACCAGACCTCCTGTTAGTCAGCATTTCTGTTCACTGAATGAATAAAAGAAGAGAAAAAAAGAGACAAAGATATGAATTATAAGAAAATATAATAATAATGTATACCTTAAGACTTAACGATTATGGGGTTCCAACACATATACATTTGTAACCATATAAAAAAATATAATATAGTAAAATTTATTGATAATGATGATGGTATCGTGTCTATGATGTTTTTGGTGATGTAGTGTCGTTTTTTTTGATTTCATTTCCTTGCTCGTAACTTGCCGTAAATAACTGGAAATAAAACGTGTAAATTGGAAGATAAAATAAAATTTACTGATGATTGTTGTAAGTGCTGAAAAAAAGAAGAAATAAATTTAATATAATATTTATTAAGTCAGTTATTGTATGACAGGCAGATCAAGGTTTCCTGGGGGAAGAAAAGGGAAGTGGATGATCTGGGAACAATGGTGTATTGAAGTGTCTGTTGGGATGGATAACACAAAGAAAATCAATTCATATTTTGTCTAGTTTTTGATAATGATTATATTTGATGACGGTTATATATGATTATTTTTATTATCTTTATTTTATATGTTGATAAATAAAGTGTATTGTTTATTTTAGGGTTTAGAAAGTGTATTGTCTAAGTTAGAGTTTTGAAATTGGTACCAGTAGACCAGGATCCGAAGCAACCAATGTACTAACTACAGGTGAGATTATGGGAAGTGTGTTAATGTTATTTATTTTGAAGTAATTAATCATTTTTATGAAATATGGTGTAAGGGTAATTATATAATTATACATATGATATATTTATTTATTAATGATAAACATATATAGGATACATTTAGATTTAAAAGGATATCATTAATGAAAATGTGAGATAATCTAGCTGCAGTGTTATGTAATAAACTTGTGAAATACATTAGAATTAAAGAAATTGAATTGTAATGAGGTCATAATAATATATATAATAATAGTATATGTGAACAAGTATTTTTGATTTAATGTATGAATTTGATATGGTTTCAATTAAGGTGATATATTATTTAGGGATCTATAGAGGGTGAATTAATGTTGTTTATTTTAGAGGGATCTATAGAGGGTGAATTATTGTTGTTTATTTTAGAATAATTAACCATTTTTATGAAATATGGTGTAAATAATAAATTAAAGGAATTGAAGTATAATGAAATCAGAATAGTATGTATAATGTTATATGTGGATAGTTATTTGGATTTAATGTCTGCATTTGATAGATACAAATGTAGTAGGAGTTATTAGATGACATTTAATTTTTTTTTAATTATGAAATTTTAGATGTAATATATATATTATTTTTTTTTGAAAAATTATAAAATTTTGAATATTGTTATGTATGCAATGCAAGGATATGAAGGGAAAATATTTTTACAGAGAAGGCCAGCTCTTGTTGATGAGTATGCCTTGAGGTGGAAATATTGTTTGGTTTGCATACTGGAGAAAGTTTTTTTTATATATAAATTTTGTTTTGTAAATTTATTTAGCACATTACATATTTATTTATCTTTGTAATAATTTTATAGCACATCACCTTTTACTACTTATATTAGGAACATGTTTTTTTCATATTACATATTTTTTTTATCTTTGTAATAATTTTATAGCACATCACCTTTTACTACTTATATTATGAACATGTTTTTTTTAAAAAAAAGAAAGAAAGAAAAGACTCAAATTATTTTATATTGTGAGGCTATATCAAAAATTCTTTACAGATATACTGTATAACCCATTATATTCTCAATTTTTGTTACTTTGCATTCTACATTTTTATGAATTGTGCTAATTGTGATAGCAGAGTTAGGTAGAAATGGTATATTTTTCTTAGGATACTGAGTAATTCCTAGATGGAAAATATTGTATTTTCTACATATTATATATTTTTCTTTATAAAATATCAAATGTATTTCTATATATATGTCTTATAATTGTGTTAAAATTTTTGTTCGGAGAAGTTTTGTTCGGAAAATTTTTGCAATTATTTTTAATGCCTAAGAATGGATTTGTATATCTATTTTAGGAGATATTTATAAAAATGTAGATGACAGAAGAACAATTACATGTGTTGAAATTGCATATCACACATAAACCATTGGTTTACATTATAATATTGTAGATAAAACCATTATTTCATAATTACCATTAATTATACCCGAATAATGTATATTATATCTCCTATTTCCCAAGTGTCTTAAAATGAATATTAGTATGTTTTGCGGCCATATTAATGTTCCATAGATTATAAATGCAGATACCTCAAAGTAAATGTCATTATTGATAATATGTGTTTCTGCGATTATATATTGAAATGTATCGGAGATATTATTTTATAAATCATCATAAAGGGAGACGATTCGATAAATTCCCTGAACGTTTTCAGGGTATGCGATACAATTCAATGGGACGATTCGATACAACACCACCAGAGAAAGAGGAACGCTGGGCTTGTGAAGGGTGGGCGTGTTGTAAGTGCTGAAAAAAAGAAGAAATAAATTTAATATAATATTTATTAAGTCAGTTATTGTATGACAGGCAGATCAAGGTTTCCTGGGGGAAGAAAAGGGAAGTGGATGATCTGGGAACAATGGTGTATCTGTTGGGATCAGGGTTGCCATGCCTCCCCCCATCAGTGGGAGTCTCCCACAATTTTTTAGTTTACCCACATACATCTCACTCCCACAAAACTCCCACAATTAGAAATCTCCCACAAAAATCTCCCACAATTTTTTAATTTCTCCCACAATTTTTTTTTTAGCATTTTAATGTTTTTAATATATAAATAATAATTTTGAGAGACAGTATTTGATTATTTTTATATTTTTAAAATAAATTTTAAATATTTATTCGAAAAATATGTCTAGTTCTTTTATTTTATTTTTCCGCTAATTTTAAATTCTCCATCCAATCCAATCCATTCGACATTTTCAAAATTTGAAGTTAGAATAGTATGGGAAACTAGTGCTTTTTTTATATTTTTATTTATATATACCATGATAGTTATCTTCTAGGTGAGATTTAGATTGTTTTGAGGTTAAAGCACTAGTTTCCAATACTGATGTTTTTTTGGACAATAAAATGTTATAATTAAATATATAAAAAGAAAAATTATTTTCAATATAAATTGCTTATGTACTATTATATATTAAAAAATATATTATTAATATTAGAAGTAATATTTTTAAAAATTAGCAATGAAAGTGGAACTCATCTTAGAAAATATTATTATCCTAATCATCTTTAATCTAAGCTTAAAAAATCCTAAATATTATACATATTTTATATTTTTATTTATATATACCATGATAGTTATCTTCTAGGTGAGATTTAGATTGTTTTGAGGTTAAAGCATTAGTTTCCAATACTGATGTTGTTTTTTGGACAATAAAATGTTATAATTAAATATATAAAAAGAAAAATTATTTTCAATATAAACTGCTTATGTACTATTATATATTAAAAAATATATTATTAATATTAGAAGTAATATTTTTAAAAATTAGCAATGAAAGTGGAACTCATCTTAGAAAATATTATTATCTTAATCATCTTTAATCTAAGCTTAAGATATCCTAAGAGGCCGAGTTAATGGTTAAACAAAATTATAAAATGTCATGCCAGGATTTTTATAAATATCTTAATAACGACGGTAAACGTTTAGTTCCATTATTTAAATCTCATATAAAATATAATTAACTATAACTATTTGACTTTCTATATTTTATAAAATCTTATTTATACATTTGCATAAAATCAAATAAATTTATTTTTTACATTGTAAAATTAATATTTTGAATATTTTGGCAAATCATAAAAATAAAGAAGCATTACAATCTCCTCAAACATGACATCATATTAAATCTTATTAATAATTATCCGATAATAGTAATATTCTTACTTTGGTATTTCTGCAGCATAATTTAGTGAGCCTTTATTAAATTATATTCTTCTGATTGCAACTGCATATTAACAGCATATAGTAGATTTCCTATATGTAAAATTCCTAAATATACTTCTGCCATTTATTTTTGAAAATTATTTTCAAATAGGACAGCTTTTATAATCTATTTATTTTTTAAAGGTTTGTATTTTAAAATTCTACGATAGCGCGTATTAGGAGGAACCTGTCAACCAACATTATGCTGACTCAATTCTGTAAATACACTCTGGTTTTTGCCAAATTCACTGAGGAATTATTAGATCAGAAAGCTACCATGCAATTCATTGGTAATGCCAAATCTGCCATATTTACCATTATATATGGTTAGCTATGTCTTTGGATATTTCATATCTGGAGAAAATTTTTTTAATAGTTTTATTAAAATGACATTAATTTTGTTGAAATAGGGGAGGATCAAGGGAAATGTTTTGATATCTCCTTATTAGATGCATCTGTTAGAATTGCATATGTTTGCACATCTTTCAAATCGTCAAGAATTGACTTTCTGGATTTATATCCTAAAACATTGTTGATAGCCTTGCTCATTTTGTGTTCTACAAAGTATTCTATTCATTTATATTAGTCGTTAAATATTATGGGGAAAGATTCTACCAACATTGAGATGTTGAGTAACTCTCTGAATGTTGTACTGCATGATAGGTATTTACTATTTCCGCAACTGTAGTTGCATCTATATTATTTCTTATTTTTGAAGAATATTTTTGTTTTGAAATAGATGTTTATAGAATGCCCTGTACTGATTTATGCTTTGAAGATTTTTGATACCTCAAAATATCATATTCCCTTCCCCCATTTATTTTTTTACATTGTAAAATTACAATTTTTTATAAAATTTTATCTTGTTTACATTCTTTTGTATTTAAAAAAGATCGTTGGTTATTATTTTTAAACAAAATTAATATATTATAATAAATCAATATGTTTTTTTAATAATAAAGATAGTACTCTAAGAAATTTTGTGTCATACAGTAATTACCTATTTTGAAAAATAGTTGGGTATTTTATTTTGGAAAATAGTTAACTATTTTATTTTGAAAAAGAGTTGGATATTTTATTTTGAAAAATAATTAGGCTATTTTATTTTGAAAAAGAGTTGGATATTTTATTTTGAAAAATAGTTGGCTATTTTATTTTGAAAAATAGTTGGCTATTTTATTTTGAAAAATAGTTGGCTATTTTATTTTGAAAAAAAGTTAGCTATTTTATTTTAAAAAAAGTTAGCTATTTTATTTTGAAAAATAATTACCTATTTTATTTTGGAAAATAGATTAGATTTTATATTTATAAAAGATAATAAGTGGATAACTAAGTCAATGGCCTGCAAAAAAATTTTTTTTACCAATTTCTCCCACAATTTTTATATTTCTCCCACAAAATACCTAATTTCTCCCACAATTTGAAAATTTTGACCTGGCAACCCTGGTTGGGATGGATAACACAAAGAAAATCAATTCATTATTTGTTTAGTTTTTGATAATGATTATATTTGATGACGGTTATATATGATTATTTTTATTATCTTTATTTTATATGTTGATAAATAAAGTGTATTGTTTATTTTAGGGTTTAGAAAGTGTATTGTCTAAGTTAGAGTTTTGAAAATGATGATGATGGTATCGTGTCTATGATGTTTTTGGTGGATGTAGTGTCGTTTTTTTGATTTCATTTCCTTGCTCGTAACTTGCCGTAAATAACTGGAAATAAAACGTGTAAATTGGAAGTATAAAATAAAATTTACTGATGATGATGGTATCGTGTCTATGATGTTTTTGGTGGATGTAGTGTCGTTTTTTTGATTTCATTTCCTTGCTCGTAACTTGCCGTAAATAACTGGAAATAAAACGTGTAAATTGGAAGTATAAAATAAAATTTACTGATGATGATGATGGTATCGTGTCTATGATGTTTTTGGTGGATGTAGTGTCGTTTTTTTGGATTTCATTTCCTTGCTCGTAACTTGCCGTAAATAACTGGAAATAAAACGTGTAAATTGGAAGTATAAAATAAAATTTACTGATGATGATGATGGTATCGTGTCTATGATGTTTTTGGTGTAGTGTCGTTTTTTTTATTTCATTTCCTTGCTCGTAATTTGCCGTAAATAACTGGAAATAAAAGGTGTAAATTGGAAGAATAAAATAAAATTTACTGATGATGATGGTGGTATCGTGTCAATGATGTTTTTGGTCGATGTAGTGTCATTTTTTTGATTTCATTTCCTTGCTCGTAACTTGCCGTAAATAACTGGAAATAAAACGTGTAAATTGGAAGTATAAAATAAAATTTACTGATGATGATGATGGTATCGTGTCTATAATGTTTTTGGTGGATGTAGTGTCGTTTTTTGATGAATTAACTTGAAGCTACATAATTTAATACGTCCTGATATACGACATTAAGAGTAAATACTCTATTATCATTCAAAAGTGTGCCCTGGTATTTTGTAGGTAATATTTTTATTTTTTTAAATCTGCAACGTGTTAGAGCGACATAGAGCTGACCATGGGAAAACACAGGTTCAGGAAGAAAGAGGCCGACATTGTCGAATGTTTGACCTTGACTTTTGTTTATAGTGATAACAAAAGCAGGAATTATAGGAAATTGGCGTCTTTTTAATATGAAAGGCAACCGGGAATCGCTCGGGGAAAGATCAATTCGAGGAATAAAAACGCGATGGCCATTATGCGTCCTTGATAATATTTCAGAATCTATGAAATTATCATGTAAATTTTTGATAAGAAGTCGTGTCCCATTGCATAAGCCTCTGCTGGGATTCATGTTACGAAGAAGCAATATTATTGTCCCAACTTTAAGATTTAAAATATGAGGAGACATTCATGATGGGGTTTGAGAATGAAGAAATTCAATGGGGAAATTAAGTAAATCCTCAGGATTATCTGTTTGTATAGAATCAGCGCTAAAATATATCTTAGAATTTCCTGATAGTTTTTGAATAATTTCGTTATTTAAATTTAGGGCTATGTTATTTTTAGTGGTTAATATAATTTTTTTTGAAAATAGGTTAATATCAGATATTTGTATGGAGTCTCCATATATTGATTTGATTAATGATTTTTCTAATAATGAATTTGGGATTTCAATCGAATCTGGAGGGAATAAAGGATTGGAAACATTTGATAAAGATTCTCCAACATTCAAAAGCCAGGAATTATACTCAACATCTTCAGAAGATAACCGCATATTTTCATTCAGGTGGATAACTTTAAAATAAACCCATAAATCAGAAGACTTAAGACACGATTTAATAATATATGCTTTTAAACTGTTTGGAATGACAGGTAAAGTTTGCCTAAAATCGCCGCTCAATAATTTAACTTTACCACCGAATGGGAACTGTGTTTGCATTATATCTTTAAGTAATCTATCGATACAGCGTAAAGCGTATTTAGTCATCATTGTGGCTTCGTCGATAATAATTAATTTGGACCTTTTAATAACAGTAGCATCAGGGGAATGAAGACTCATGCGAGATACAGAGTTATCAACAATCGGAATAGGTAATTTAAATCCACTATGTATTGTTCTACCCCCTTTTAAAAGAATAGCGGCAATGCCTGTTGTTGCAAACGGTAAAACTATTTGGTTGCGTATTCATATGTAGCACATTAGGGTGTTATACAAAAAAGTTTTTCCAGAACCACCAGGACCATCAATATAAAAACAACGCTGAGCAAAATCATTATTTTCGATAGATTGAACGATTAAATCAAAAGATGATTTTTGTAAAAGATTTAATTTAGAAATAATTTCCCATGCTTTAGCTGGCTCAAGTTCAATATTATAAATATCATTTTCAAGTGTTATAGTAGGAACAGGCAAATTAAAATTATTTAGATGAAAACCATGGTCACGCAAAACTTTTTCTATATCTGATAAGGCCATATTAATTGCAATAGAATCTGTATGGGTATGTGCGAAATCTTCTATCATATATTTTTTAAATTTTTCCCAGAGGTTATTTGGATTTTCTGGCTGACAAAAAATACAAATAAAGGCAAAAGATTGACGCAACTGTATGGGCATTAAAAATGTTGACGCTTCTTTCATAAATGCTTCCCATTCCTTGTCATCAACCAATAAATTTCTTTTAAAAGCCGCCTCTTTAAAAGTATTATATAAAACTCATTCAAAACTTGTGGCGCCAACAACATGAAGTAATAGTAAACGTAGGAAAAATCTCTCGCCGGATGGATCAACAGTATACATTAGTGTTGTTAAACGGCTCGTTTTGAGCCGATTTTTAAAAACGGCTAACTCAATATTTTAGCCAGAAAAATATTGCCTAAGCCTCAAGATTTCGAAAATATATGTCTATACATTTGTTCCTTCTATGAGCAAAATCTTCAGGCTTGGGTAATATTTTTATGGATGAGGTATTGAGTTAGCCGTTTTTAAAAATCGGCTCAAAACGAGCCGTTTAACAACACTAGTATACATCCTTGAAATTATATTGTTTTGTCTTTGTCTAAGTTTCCACTTATTAGCGCTGAAAGTATAATGATATGGTATAGTGACATATAAATATTGACGGGCATTAACATCATTTTTATTTAATTCAAACCAGGCAGTTAATGTAGTATTTCTGCTGGCAGATTTCTCTAATGCCTGACGTTCTTGTCCTTCTATAAAATATACCGGTTGATGAAATGGCAAGTGTATTGCTAATCGATTTATACCGTGAGATCGATCATGCATACGATTTTCTAATAATCTCCACATGGCTTCACATGCATATCGGGCATTTATATGCATTCTAATTTCATCATGAGATTGAAGCGAATTAGTTTTAAGATCTATATTAGCGCAGTCGTATCCTTTGTAAACGTACTTAAAAATATATTTGACGGATTTTATTGATGTACATATTTCAACATTTATGTGTGCATTAAATTTTAATAATAGACATTTGTTATAAGGGATTACGTATCGATTATCAACTGGCTTACCTCCGACATGAATAAAACCCTTATCTCTACGTTGATAAAATGGATATCCATTCGCATTGTGTTGAGATTCTTTTTGAAAATCTTTCGGAAATTTTTTTGTACACGAACCATTTTCCATGCATTGAGTGAGGATTCAAAATACCACATGGTCCATGTATCATAAAGCGAGTAACAATATCATATAATCGGGGTTCGATATTTTTATCTGGGATTTCAGCTAGAACAAAATTATCTATACACTCGGTTGTTTCAATTTTATTATTTTCGCTTAATATAATGAGAAGATGAGCATGAGGTAATCCTCTCTTTTGAAATTCTATGGTATAAACATACGCCGAAAATTTGCCAAAGAAATCTTTTTTAATAATATCGTGTAATAATTCTGATAATTTTAAATGAAAAACTCTAGCTAATAAATCAGGTCTATCCGAAGGGTTCTGTCCTTTATAAAGATTTTCTTTAATTTCCCTCGAATTGGTATTGCATGTAAAAGTTATAAATATATCAGTCTTACCAAACTTAGAAACGATAGCCATATCATCATGATATCGTTCACGCATGTTTCTTTCGGACCCCTGAAAAGAAGAAGGCAAAATAACGGCTCTTCCTATAGGTAAATTAGTAATATCATTTGCTTTAGAAATATGATCCATAAGCCCTGAATATTCCTCTGCACGTAATTTTGATTGGTTTAATTTTATATAATTCAAATTATTAGCTTCGACTTGGAGGTAAGAATCAACAACATATTGATGAAATAATCGCCCAGCATAAAGAATAGGATTAAAAATGTTAGCACGAATAGCTAACTTTGATATTTTAAATTGTAACATAGTTATATTTGATCTTGTTCCCTTGTTAAATGGCCCATTAAATTTCATATACGTATGCCATCCATGATCACCATAAGGAAATAGTAAAGGATACACCATAGGATTTAAATTTGGGCTAAGAATATTTAAGATAATTAAATTTGAATCATCATTTCGTGGATAAACTTTAACATCACGTTGAAAGGGTGGTTCTCCATCATCGTTATTAAAAATCATTGCTACTTCATCAATAGTAGGAATATTAAATCTTCTTCTATCATTAGCACGATCACGGCGAAAAATCATATTTACCTTTGATATAGGACGGTTTTCTAACCTAGCTTTCATTTCTTCGGCCTTCTCAACCTCACCCAATGTTTTAAAGCTAATAGCATATGGATTTATTTGACGAATTAAAATATCAAGTTTTTTTAATAAATGAATATCACAGGTTGAATTTTCTTTTAAAAGTACACGATTTTCAATAGCCTTAGATGTTTCAAGAACATATAATTTTGCATATTTTGGGGAAACGCCATTTGGAGGATATAAATGTAAAGTTCGATGATAAATTTAACCATGAACCCTAAAACAGTATGGGCCTTTATTTAATAAATTATCATTTTTAGCCCCCATCGTGGCAAAGGCCATGGAGCTGTTGTATGAGCGGATATTCTGAGAGAAATTTTTATAATAATGATTGTGTTAATTTGAAAGTAAATCTTTTAAAAAATCTGGATATTGTAGAGAAGGCAATAAAACACGACCTTTGTGGCAGCAATTTTTAAATTTTCCATCAGATGGTTTTTCAGAAATAAAATTTAATGCATTACAATATGGGCATAGAATATTTAATGGCCCACAGTAATGTTCAACTTGTTCTTGATTTTCAGTATCTTCAAGATGATTGGATGTTGAAGCAAATTGTTTATTTCCAGTATCTTCAAGATACTTGGATGTTGTAGGATTAGGACTTGGTTCGTTACTTTTCTTGCTACGACAAAGTGCCTGTCTCTTTCTAGCTTTCTCCTTATGTTGATTTATTATTAAAATTTAAAAATATAAGAATTACTCAATTTTATAAAAATAAGTTTTGTTTAAAATATTTATTATTGTGGACATAAAATAAAATTACTAAATATATACTTCATAAACATATTTATAAAAAATATTGGAAAATATTAGAATAGCCCCTCACCTAATAAATATATATTTCGGAATCACATCTTATAAGATAGGAAAAATCTGATTCCTCGTCATTCTTGACGGGCTATCTACTAATATACAATACAAATTTAAAAAAATATAAAATTTACTCTTGTTGAAGCGATAATGCCTTCTTTAGATTTTGGTAGTATGAAACGTTCCATTGTTTGGTTTTGTTGAATGGTATCTTGTGTAGGAATCTAAAAAAAATAATAAAATAGATTTTAATGGCCCACAGTAATGTTCAACTTGTTCTTGATTTTCAGTATCTTCAAGATGATTGGATGTTGAAGCAAATTGTTTATTTCCAGTATCTTCAAGATGGTTGGATGTTGTAGGAATAAGACTTTGCTCGTTCCTTTTCTTGATACTACAAAGTGCCTGTCTTTTTCTAGCTTTCTCCTTATGTTGATTTATTATTAAAATTTAAAAATATAAGAATTACTCAATTTTATAAAAATAAGTTTAGTTTAAAATATTTATTATTGTGGACATAAAATAAAATTACTAAATAGATACTTCATAAACATATTTATAAAAAATAATGGAAAATATTAGAATAGCCCCTCACCTAATAAATATATATTTCGGAATCCTATCTTATAAGATAGGAAAAATCTGATTCCTCCTCATTCTTGACGGGCTATCAGCTAACATACAATACAAATTAAAAAAATATAAAATTTACTCTTGTTGAAGCAATAATGCCTTCTTTAGATTTTGGTAGTATGAAACGTTCCATTGTTTGGTTTTGTTGAATGGTATCTTGTGTAGGAATCTAAAAAAAATAATAAAATAGTATTTATAATAATTTTAAATTACATTGCTTATGAGATAACCTTATAAATAA